TCTAGTTCAGTTCCTCGTTTGTACCGAATACAGCTGGAAATTACAACGAAACACGATACACTCATGGTATTTGATGAATGATCAGCACCATGGAGTATCGGAAAGAAACGCAAATTTCCACGCCTAACGAATGCACTCTCACTGAATACGAAACCACCGCTGCGACTATTTTGAATGATTCTAACCACCTTCATGCTCTACATTCATATGGGAATGCGAACAGCACACGAATGAGTCACGTTTATTCCTCTACAGGTGAAAATAACGCCTCAACTTTAACTAAAATATCGCCTCAACTTCACGCAAATGCTGTTCCTTCATCGACTCGTTCTCACAACAATCTTGGCAGCTAGCTTACAGTCGTCAGCGAAGGGACGAACGCTCAATCGTGCTCCACGAGGAAGGCCATATGAACAAGAAGTAAGTGGCTTCACACAACAAATACAGGTAAAAAGTCTTAACATGGAAAAGAATCCGAAAAGACACAAATTAAAGAAGAGTATTCGAAAATTACCGTGTGCTGGACTCGCCGGTGAGGCAGGAGGACCGTCCATTCGCAGACCCATAATAGCCGGATTTTGCATGGGTTGCATTTGAGGTGGTGGACCACCTTGTCCAGCTGCAGCAGCACCGGCTGACTGCGGCGGTGGTGGATACATAACGTGATCCCTCGATGCAGGTCTTGAGCCTTGTTTCGATTTCTTGCTGGCGCCTTGTGGAGGACCCACCGACCCTGGACTATTGTAACTTCCATTCGGTATGGGTGACGGTTGCTGCAAACAACAAAATTGTCATCATACAAAATTCAAATGAGCTTTTTCTACGATAGCGATAAAGCAATATCACAGAATCCTCGCTTGATACTCTATGAGAAATGTGAAGAGGATAATAATTTTGAAAAAAAAATTCCTTCGCACCTAGAGCTTACACTGAATACACACTAAACATTGTTAGGCTACCAGGAGCTGGTTATTGTCCTGATTCTCTATTTCGTCTTCCTAGCAAATTATCTGACGATGAGTATTATTGAAAAAAAACTCAACACACTCATAAAATACAAATTAATGTTTTCCACTTCAAATTAAATATCGTCGTAGCAAACGAGATGGATTCCCAGTATATTCACATCAGATATATCAAAAGGATATTCCGAAAAAAGAGAAACAACTTCAAATATCCTTTCACCAGGACACGATTAAATGCGTAACTCACTCATCGCTGCTTCAAGTCATTCGCACAGAAATCATCGTCGTCATCATTCCCATGATGATGCAGCAGCAAAACAACAAAAACTTCTGGGATACCCCAGACACAAACGCATCTCATCTCATCACAACCATCAATAACCACAACGACCACACTAATGAATAATCGGCAAAAAAAGCACGAATTCGATCAGAAAGCTTTCCTTTGCGCTGATCAAAGGGAACAATCAACACAGAAAACACACAAACAAAACGCAATCAGCCGTTCGACAAATTTTTTTTCCGGCGCTCATCATTTGATTCATTCATTCATATCTCCTCATAACAATAAGCAATTTCGCTGTTCGTTTCTTTTGCATTCATTCTTTCATATGGCAAAAAACACCAAAAAAAAAACTCTTTTGCTCTCAATTTTAAATCGAAATATTTTCCGCTTTTTGTTAAATGACATTTAGAGATGTTGTTTCCCATCGAAATTCCCATTTCTCACGCCTTCCCACGCCATTCCAATCGCCATCATTCAACCCGACACACACGTAAACACTAAACAAAACCTAACACAGCCGTCGATCACTTCATACCGACCAATTGCACCAGAATGACTAAGTGCCTGATTCGAAGACGATCACGACGAATTCCATCCAGTCTCAACGACGATCACAACTATTCAGATATCATAATTACTCAACAAATTACGCGAATACGATTAGTTCAGCAAATATATTGACTGTCCTAATGGTTGCTTCACTACACTATCACTACACGACCGATCGTCCCGTACATTTTCGATGCTTGCCAATCAGCACAATCTTGAATCTCGACAATTTTTGACCAATTTCGTCACATATGCTGCGATCAGTGACAATCAAGTCA